GGGGTGGAAAGATTAGCCCCTGTGCTCCTCAAACAAATACTTCAAAATAAATGTGCACAAATATGTATCACGGAAAACACATTTTCTTAGGACAGCCTCTTCCCGGAGTAGTTAATTAATGCATTTCTGACTTGCTTATCTAATTGCTGCATAATTTGTTCAGCTTGGCCCAATGTCTCAGTCCATCAACTCATTCAATTAGCAAGTATCAGTCTGTGCAATAAAAACAATCCCATGTGGGAAAGGGAGAAATTCACCTGAAGCAACCAGGAGAATTTGCCCTTCAGAATGGGACAGAGTAGTAGTACAATAATATCCCAGGAATACCCCAGTTATTCTACACATTCTGCAAAGGTCTTCACCTAAGCTAAAGCTCTATGGAGACCACAGCCAAGATCATCTTTGGTACAATGATGGTCTTCTGACATAATGGTATATCATACCATACATACATAGTGGCATGGCTATATACTATACCATACATACTGGTATGGCCAGTCTAGAGAAAAGAAGGACTAGGAGTGACATGATAGTGGTATTCCAGTATTTGAGGGGCTGCCACAAAGAAGAAGGGATCAAACTATTCTCCACAGCACCAGAGGGCAGGACAAGAAACAATGGATGGAAACTAATCAAAGAGAGAAGCAACCTGGAATTCAGGAGAAACATCCTAACAGTGAGGACAATCAACCAGTGGGACAGCCTTCAGAAGTTGTAGGTGCTTCATCACTGGAGGTTTTGAAGAAGAGACTGGACAACCATTTGTCTGGAATGGGAAATTGAGCAGGGGGCTGGAATGGGAGACCTCCACAGTCCCTTCCTGCTCTATTGTGGTTGATTGATTGATCGATCGATCGATCGACCGATTGAATAAACAGGACAGATTGTCTCAAACAGGGATTCCTGAAAGGACCTTTCAAGTTTATGACCTTCAGAATGGAAGATTAGCAGACAAAGAGTTGTCTCCACCAACATTTCCTCTAAGCTAGTGTTTCTCATCCTTGGCCACTTTAAGGGGGTGTATTTCAACTTCCCCATGGCTGGCTGGGGAATTCTGGGAGTTGAAGTCCACCTGTCAAGGTTGAGAAACACTTCACTAAACAGCAGAATTTCTGGCTTGGGCACCAGAAGGGAGGCTGCTCTCCAAGGTACTGAAAACGATTCCGAGTCTAAAGAGAGGGCAGTCCATGCTCTGCCTTCAGCCTTTGAGTGGCTGGAGCCCCCTGCCTCCAACTTCCTGAGGGCAAAACTACAACATTCAGTTGCAAAAATGGCATGTTATGGATTGTGTGGCTTCTATTTTTATTTCCCCCAAAATAAAACTAGATTCAACCTAGAAATTTCCTGACAGTGATAACAGTCAACCAATGGAACAGAGGTTGTCTTTGGAAGTTGTGCTTTATCCTTGGAAGCTTTCAAGAAGAGACTGGGTGGCCATCTGCCAGAAATGGTGAAGGTTCTCCTGCTTAGGCAGGAAGGGGTGGGGTTGGACTAGATGATCTACAAGCTCCCTTCCAACTCTGCTATTCTGACCAAGTGAAAAATGATCATGAGCCACTTTTTTCAGTACCATTGTAATTTTGAACAGTCACTAAACAAATGGTAAGTTGAGAACTACCTGTACATGGTAACTATACAACAAAATCCCATTGCGTCTTCCACCTCCAAACCTACAGATTTTACTTGAAATTCGAAGGCAGATGAGCCAGTTGCTGTGAGCATCCTCAAAAGAGTTGCTCTTGGCAGCCCCTGGGCTACAGGAGGAGGGACCCCCATCCCAAAGGCCAGATACCTTATTTGTGCAGCCTTAAGATAGCTGCTAAGCTGTGCATCATGTTCCCAGCAGTCTGAACGGAGCCTGAAGGAAGCAGCCCTAAACTTCACTGTCGTGTGCTGCCATCTGTGGCCCGAAATAGTCATTGCTGCATGAAGCAAAACATTCTTAATCTCCAATTCAAGGTCACCTCTAATTAAGTGTCACTTGGGACTAATTAAGTGGATAATCAAGGATGATATACTCTTTAACACAATTACGTACTATTTTTAGTCCCTCCAAGATAGCTTAAAAGTAGCAAAAGGAGAAATCTTTTGGCCCTCTCTAAGGGCAGATGGAGAAATGTATTTGATAAATAGAAACGATGTGTGGAATCAGGGGGGAGGGGGGTGGTTTGGGGTCCCCCCCCCAGAAAGGTAGGCAGTGCAGGCTCTGCTTACCCGCAACTCCTCCCACCGCTTCTGAGCAACCCAGAGGGAGGATTGTTCAAGGCATTCAGGGTCACGTTTATAAAATAGGCGGCTGTAGAAATGGGAGGGAGGAGGGAGGGAGGGAGGGAATAGTACCCCAGTATCACAGGAATACTGTACATTAGAACTGTGATGGCATAAGATCACCGAAGATTGAGCCTGATGGCTATAGTTGGGATGGAGAGGCTTACTCTTCTTTTCAGATAGATAGGAGAGAGAGAGAGAGAGAGAGAGAGATGATAGATAGATAGATAGATAGATAGATAGATAGATAGATAGATAGAT